GGAATTGGGCAGGAGCCCCCGGGTCGGTTTGGGTGGGGGTCTGGGGGTCCCGGGGGGAGCGGGGTGGGGTGAGAGAACCCCCGGGCAGGTCTGGGGGAGGCTGGGGGTGTGGGGGTCCCGGGGGTGTGGGGGTCCCTGGGGTCGGCATCAGCAGCTCGGGGGGACCCGCAGAGGGTCCCCACGGGGGGCACAGCGCTGGGTGGGATTTGGGCACAAGGCTCAGGGCCAGGGGATGGCGTTGGGGGTGTTTGGGGGGGCACAGAGAGGGGCCGTGGTGGATTTCTGGGGGGGTCTCGGCGTTTTTGGATGAAAAATTGAGGGGATGGGGGCAGAGGAGGGTGGGGTGGGGATGGCGAGGGGCATCTTTGGGTGGATGAGGCGACAAGGGACAGTCGGAATCGATGCGGCTCGGTGCCAGCTGCTTGGGAAGTTGGGTGACTTGATGGTGGAGCAGCCCCGGTTTGGGGTGCAAAGGGAGGCTGGGAGCTCCCACCAACATCGCAGAATTTACTTGTTTTGTTTCCCGCCGGCGAGCCGAGGGTGGGTTGGCGTGGCTGGCACAGGACAGCGGTGGCATCCCGCCTCGGGCGGGCAGGATTCGGGAGGCTCCGGGGAATTGTGTGGGTTGCGCAAAGGAGGGGTGGCTGCAGCATCTGGGTTTTGTGTTATTGAGGTGTAGAGGAGGTAAGTGGGTGCTGCAGACAAAGGGAGAGAGAGAGAAATCTGTCTCCTGCTCCTCACTTCCAGTTGGAGGTGTGCAATGGGAAGCTGGGCGTCCTTTAGGAGTTGGGGAAGTGCAGGGAAGCAGGGATTGGAGCTGTGGGTGCAAATCTGGGCTTTGCCTCCATCCTGGGCTGTGGCCATCAGGTGTGGCCTTAAACCAAAGCCAGACGGGCTGGGCTGGAGCTGTGTCTGCTCTGAGACACCTCTGCTGCTGCTTGGAGGAAGTTATTGTGGCTAAATAGGGGTTTTTTTTGGGGAAAACTGGCACCATCCAGCTTTGTGAGCTTCTTGTGGCGCTGCCCTGGACATGTCCAGTGGGGGTGATTCCTACCAGGAGGAAATCTAGAGTGTGACAGATTAATCTGGGCAAACTCGAGGTGATTTCTT